ATAAAGCTGGATTTGTTTTTCTGGTTTTAAACCAGCCTTTCCCAACCAAGACCTCAAGGAACCCTAAGGTTTTTGCAGAGGCTGCTAGGGATTCATTGAGATTAGAGCAGTGGGAGATTGATCTCCTGCCTACACTGACCATCAACGTAAGGGGTCATTTCTAAACTGATCACCAATATAAGGGATCATCTCTACAATTCTCACTTTCATTTTTGGCCATTAATAATATTATATTACTTTTATTAGATTATAATGTGAACACCATTCTTTAGGCCAGGTTCACACCTGGGCGATCCCGGAACACGCATCCAGGGACCGAGCGATCGTGCGCGATCGCACACAGCGGTTGTTGTGCATCCCTATTGATTTCAATGGTGTTATATGCGCGGCAATCACTGAAAAAAGGTACATGTAACTTTTTTCGCAACATGCATTTTTTCAGCCGCGATAATGCGCGATTGCAGGGTTGGAATGCACACAATCTGCCTGCTGCGACTGGGGTGCCATTAGAAAAGAATGGCACCGCCAGCGCAATCAACAGTGGGGTGCAATTCTGGCGGATTGCCACGCAGTCACGAATCGTCTATGTGTGAACCGGGCCTCATTTCTTTAAAAGTCTCTACAACCTGCTGATCACACTAATGTACCATGAGCTGTAGGTCTAATAATTTTAGTATGGGGTTCCCTGAGACCTGAAAGTTACTTAAATGGTCCATCCATGGTGAAAAGTTTCCTCGGTGTGGAGAGATTCGGCTCACACAGCCACTGATGCATATCGATGAAGTGTAACCGTTGACATTCACTGTATTTTTAATGTAATTGCTAAATTCTGGAGATTGTTTATAAAATATTCTCCAGTGAATGTTTTATAAATACACCCCAATATATTCACTAAAACATTTACCTTTTTCATAGGTCTACTTAAAATGGGGATAGCTGAGATGTTATTGCTTATTACTATTATATTCAGATGATCATTTTTTTTCTTCTTTTTCTGCGGTCACAAAAACAGACTTTACCAGCAAAATCATCCAGAAAGTGTTCTGTAATGGAAGCCAAATCCTATAATCTCAACTATCACAGCGATACTTATGTAAACGCCAATCTTTTATGGATGGTATCAAGAGGATTATTTATAAGTGCTTTATTTACTTTCCATTAGAGGAAACCATGTTGAAGGGATATGCTGCTCAATTAAATTACCGCTGCCTATTACAGCAAATATTTTTACCATGGCCCTTTTACACCTTAGAAAATAAAGAAGAAGAAAAAGCTAATTTCCTCATACTTCTTCTTTCCAATATGATCTAAACTCAACATTGAAGAGGTCTTTCAGCTATCAGTAGCAAAATTATTGAGGACACACTTGGCTCTATTCCTCTATTCCATGTAGGTGCCATTACAAGTCTTGTTTGACTAGGGAAAGCTCTTGCTAACAAACACAGAGATCTTTAAACAGTTATAACCAATCCTTCCCCCTTCACAATGAGAAAATGCAAGGCTGTGCTTTAAGCTGGTTTATTAACAAACATCACCTGCTCCCTTGCCATTTTTATACATGAGGCCCAATGGGTCAAAACCAACATCTTTCTATATATAGTCCCATACAGAGTTTTAATCAGTGAATCAGTCAAACAGACAAAAGCTACTGTTGTGCTTTTTTTCCCCACAGAAAACCCAGAACGCTCTGCAAAACCAGTAACATTGATGCATCCTGTTTTTTAAAGGCATATTCCGCTTTTTGCAAACAATTATCCCATATTGCAAAAAGAAAAACTATGCATTCATTTTTTTTTTCATTGGAGCCTGCAGAGCATTGTATCCACGATCAGTGGATCGCAGTTGCAGTGCAAAGGCTCCTGCAGTCTGTTTCTCCAACCCCTGTCTGTTTTGAGGTACGGACTTTCGGTTATGGAGATGGAAGTTTTCAAAGAACTACAGTTGCGGTGACCTCACTGCACTTGTACTCCATTGAGAATTACAAGTCATTCATTGCCGCACCAAGTTAAAGAATATACACCCCAAGATCTAGTTTTTTTGTGAGGGTGTTTGTGTCCTTAAAGTACCAAACGTCCCTACTGTGGTCAGCAATAACAATCAGAAGGTCTACCATAGTTAAAGTTTAGAATAGTATCAGGAACCTCTCCTCTGACCTGGTCTCAACAGTAATCCTTTGCACACCCCTGCTTATGACACAAAATTTAAAGTTGAACTCCAGGATATTATCCAAATGCAAGAGGCATGTGTATTCCTACTTGACATACTTGGCATGTTTTGTGTATTTTTTCCAGATCTGTGCAGTAGTTCAGCATGAAATGTGTGTAGGAGCTTCCTGTGATAAAGACCAGTCATTGATGCTCTATCTTGTGCAGAGTAACTGATCTTGTCTCCTCCCCTCCTGTAGGCAGCCTGTAGTGGATGTGTCCTCCTGGGGCCATCCCACAGCTTTGTTGTCTACACAGGCTATGAACAGCACAGTGATGATGTCACTGCTACTTTGATATGTTAATATCTGGGTTTGCAAGGGCCTTAAGCGCACACAAAGTAGGCTTAGTGTATATCCTCTGTGACGTAAAAGGGATATATATTATGTTTTTGTGCCTGGAGTTCAGCTTTAATGGATTGTATTTGCGTCCACACTTAATAGGACAAGAGTAAAAGTTTCCTCTTACAATACATTTTGGATGATTTTGTTTTTTTAAAAAATTGAAAAAACTGAGATTATTCTTGACCTGCCAAGTTGTTATTTTAGTATGTCGATAAGAATCTCAGTGGCTGATAGTGGCTAAAGCATTGAAAATAAATCCAAGCATGCAATCGCCTGTTACCCTGCAGTGTTTCCCTTCTTTAATCTCCTAATTTGCCAGCACCTGTGGTCAGCACGTTGTAGTAACACGCAGAGTCCTGACCTGCACAGCCTGCTCCAGCAACCTGTTCTCTGTCCTCTTTTATAACTGCCTTTTCTTCGGACTGAAGAATTGCACATTTGTGTCTGTCTGTTTTCTAACCAAGTGTTTTTATTTGCATGTTGCATGCTGCTCCGTTGCAATACAGAAGCAGATGAAGGTAAAGAAAGTGTTTTATCTTTATTGCTTTCATATACTTCCAAGTGACTGTGTCTGTTCTGTTTTGATGATCATGATCATTGTCTCTGAGAGATGTTTAGTTAACTCATATTGAGACTAGAGTTTTTCATTTCACATAGTGATGCTGTGAGGTTATTTGGGGAAATCTGGACTGATATAATAAAAAACAAAACAAATATTAAGACGAAAAGTAGAGCTGTTTCTTCACTGTCACATTTAAGCTGTTATATTGCTATAGAAAATTAGACAATTTATGTTATCTGATTGCTCTCACTGCTGTATGGCTGTTACAGTGTTCAAGACAAAAAAAATTAAATCATTTTTGCTATTCTGAATAGAGTAGCGAAGGATTGAGGCCCAGTCACACATGCATGCACTATTTTTTCCTATTGCAATACACCCGAACACAGGGCATTGCTGTACCATGCGTTCTGGTGCCGGCGATCGCACTGCAGTCCTCCTACCCCAAAACGCGGTCCGGCTTGATTTATGCTATCCACTGTCTTCTGAGCTCGACCGTGCCAGAACATACTGGATATGGTGTGACTGGGCCCTAAAACTCTTGTTAGGTTTTGCTGCTCTTTGGGACTCTGTTAGAGAGATTGACCTGTTGACAACATTTGTACCAGATAGGAAGTTATGGAAAATCTGCAGCAGAGACTCGAGAAAAAAACTGCCAGGGAGCTACCCAAAACATGAGACCTCTCGCCCCATTACTTGATTTGAGCAAAAATGTCTGGACCCCCATTACCCTGGCCTAAATTCCCTAATGTTCTCTACTGTGGTCAACAAACTAGCCTCACATCCCCGCCTCTTCTAAATGAACAGCTAACCTCAGTGTTAAGGAGGATGATTGTGACCAAATCTGGGCTACTGCAAAGTCCTGCTCCTTAAGTGAGGCAACCCTGGAAATCGGCTGCACCGATACTGGTTTTTCGTTATCGAGTACCGATACTTTGCTTTCGGTACTCGTCGATACCGAGTACCGATACCTGTGCTTCTGCTGCCATGGAGCCAACTTCCCAGTCAATCTACCCGAGAAGCTGGCTCCATGTTGTCTAACCTGCTTGATGGAGCTTGGCCGGGAAACCGGCTTCCCGGCCAATCAGGAAGCCAGGTGGTGAGTAATGACTTGCCTCCCAGCTTCCTGATTGGCTGGGAAGCCTGCTCCATGCTGATTGCTGAAAAGCCGTCTTCCCAGCCAATCAGCATCGAGCTGGCCAAACAGCCAGCTCGATGCTCATTGGCCAGGAAGCTGGTTTCCTGGCCAATCAGGAAGCAGGGAGGCACGTCATTACTCGCCGCCCAGCTTCCTGATCGTATGGGAAGCTGGCTCCATGTTCCCACAGGGCACTGCCGGTCAGGGGAAATCTTCCTCTGACCGGAAGTTCCGGTATCGGGGAAGGTATCGGAGCATTTGGGCGAGTACAAGTACTCGCCCAAATACTCAATATCGGCACCGATACTAGTATCGGTGCATCCCTACTAGAAACGAATTATGATGTTCTCTCCCACTTATACCAAGTTTGAGCTACAAGGACCTAGTTTGTCCCCATCTGTCTACCTCCTTTCTTTTGAGGATGTGTGGAGTTAAGTTCCCACGTGCACATTTGGTGGACTTGTCAAATGGTTTGCACCTTCTAGGATAGAATCTTTTTTGTTGTATG